TATTAACTGGGCACAATAAAGCCTTGATTTATTTCCAGTTATCAGGGCTACGGGAGAGAACGTTCCCTTTCACAACAGGGAAATGTATGAGAAGTTGTCAGAGGCAGTTAAGTGACGACGTTCACACAAACGTGGCTCCGTGTGCTGGGGGGCGGGAGGTGTAGCAGGATATGGCACAAGACACGGTGGGGGGACACAGAGATGGAACAGGGATTACCCGCACTCTGAGAGGAAGTGATGCTTCTGTAGAACATGACTGTCCAGACCCCATCAGGTCATTCAGGTTGCAAAAGCAGGAATCATGAAATCCCAGACTGGTTTGGGTTGGAATGGACCATCTCGTACCACACCGTGCCTTGGGCAGGGACACTTCCACTACACCAGGTTGCTCCAACCTGTTCAGATTTGGAGCATAAGCCACACATGTTACTTCCAAGAGTATTTTCTATCATAAGCATTCCAGGTGGGAAAGGTGATGGACATTTGTGAAATTCCAGGATCCCTGTGAGACTAAAGGAGGAGAGTTGGGCGTGTTGATCACAGTTTAAGTGTTGCCCATCAAGGAACTGAGTCATGAGTAAATGGAATTAAAAGCACGTGGAGGGACCTGGCAGATGGGCAGAATATCCCTGCACCAGGAGTACAATCATGGAATGACACGGGGGTGGGTGAGAGCAGCAGCAGAGAAAAATCACAGAATAGTTTAAATTGGAAAAGCCCTCTAGGAGCATCGAGTCCAACCATCCCCCAGAACTGCCAAGGCCACCATTAACCCATGTCCCCAAGCACAAAGGAAAAGAATGGAATTTCTGGGGGGATGTGGAGGGAGAAAGCCTTGTTCTTCTCAGTTTGTCAGAGAAATGAACAGATACCTTTAAAGAAGAAACGGGGTGGAAGGACATTTAACAAAGGAAACTGCCCAACCAGGAGAATCAGAGGAGCTGAAGGCTTCCTCTCTTTTATACTTCTTTTTTTAAGAACTTTGCAGATTTCAACCTGAAAATAAATTTGATATAAATTTCTTACAAATAGTGACCAGTAGGCAAAGCACATCTCTCCTAAATGAAACATCTCGCTTTCATTGATGGAAGCTGTCCTGCCAGGCCAGCTCAGCAGCAAAAGGGCATCATTCCACTGATTTGGTGGCAGGCACAACATTCCCACTGAACAGGGTTGCCCACCCAGGCTGCCCTGGGCAGAGAAAGTCACCCCCTCATGTCCCACCTGCCTGGAGCAACGTGGCCATGGAGCTGATCACGGCACATAAGCTCTGCCAGCACCCTCACCCCTGGCACAACCCTCTCCCAGGTGCAACAAGCTGTTTTTCCGCCTGGTTGGGATGGATGAGGATCAGCAGCAGGGAACAGATGTTGGAAGAGCTCCCGCACTGGGCTCAGCTGGCTGGGGGACACTAAAACCCAGCCAGGACTGTGTCAGCAATCAGCTGACTCTGGCTGATCACTCAGGTGTACAAACTGCTTCATGCTGTAGCCACATCCTACTTCTACATTGCTTCCATTTTATCCCTGTTCCCTCCTTCTTTAGTGTAGTGCGTTGACCCTGGCTGGATGCCAGGTTCCCACTAAAGCCACTCTCTCACTCTGCTCTGCAACTGGACAGAGGAGAGAAAAAAACCACATAAGGATTCATGAGTTGAGATAAGAGTTGGGAGAGGTCACTTACTGATTACCTTCACAGGCAAAACAGACTCTAAGTGGGGATATTACTTAAATTTATTACTAACAGGATAAGAGCCAAAGAGTGAGAAATAAAACAATCTTAAAAACACCTTCCCCCCATCCCTCCTTCCTTCCATGTTCTCCCTCCTCCCCCCAGTGGTGCAGGGGGATGGGGAGTGGGGGTTGTGGTCAGTTGTTGTTTCTGCTGCTGCTCAGGGAGAGGAGCCCTTCCCCTGCTCCCGTTGGGTCCCTCCCACGGGAGACAGTCCTTAAAGGACCTCTCCAACGTGAGTCCATCCCTCGGACAGCAGCTCTTCCCAAACTGCTGTCCCGTGGGTCACTCCTCCATGGAGTGCAGTCCTTCACCAATGAGCTGTACCAACGTGGGTCCCCCACAGGGGCCACAAGTCCTACCCAGGAAAAACCTGCTCCAGCATGGGCTTCCCTCTCCATGGGCTGCAGGTCTCCGGCAGGACCTTGCTCCATCTTGGGCCTCTCACGGGGTCACAGCCTCCTTCATGCATCCACCTGCTCCCGCATGGGCTCCTCCATGGGCTGCAGGTGGGTCTCTGCACCCTGATGGTCCCCCATGGGCTGCAGGGGCACAGCTGCTCCCCCACGGGTGCACCACGGGCCGCAGGGGCCTCAGCTCCGGTGCCTTGAGCACCTCCTGCCCCTCCTTCTGCACTGCCCTTGCTGTCTACTTTGTTGTTCCCATGTTCTCAATCTGCTCTTCCCTGTCTGGAATTCTTCCTGTGCAACAACCTTATGTTCTTAAATATGTTATCATGGAGGCATTACTATTGCTCCTAATTGGCTTGGCCTTGGCCAGCAGCAGGAAGTCCATCCTGGAGCCGGCTGGCTTTGGCTCCACCAGACAGGGGAAGCTTCCAGCAGCTTCTAACAGAAGCCGCCCCTGCAGCCCCAACCTGCTACCAAAACCCAGCCACAGAAATCCACTACATTTAGTTATAAGAAATATTAGAAAAATAAAATATTCTGCATATCCCCAGTGTAGGCTCAGAAGTGTGCCTGAATCCCACATAATGCCGTGTGAATCCACACTACGGCCAAGGACACTCCCAGCTTAGCCCAGTGGCTGAACTGAGACAAAGAGCAGCTTTATTATTTTATTCTTTGTACTTATTATTTTCCGAGCTTGTTGGTTGATGGAGCAGCCTGGACAAGTTTCTCCCTGCAGACAGAGGTCCCTTACACCATGTGCTGCAGTTGGACCTGAGCACTCCTTGTTTGTGGCATGTACCAAAGAGGAATGGTACCTCCTGAGCGTGCACGTCCTTCAACACACACACTTTCTGCCATTGCTCCCTTGGCTCACTGTTCAGGGAGAGCAAATCCCATCCCACCCGCACCCCTGGGCACAATCATCGCTCCCACAGAGACTTGGGGTGGCTGGTGCAGGAATGAGCCACCACTGCTCAGCTTTACCTTCCTGACACTGTCAGAGTCAATTGTTCTCATCACAAAGCCATCTGGCAGACTCAAAACCCCTGTTAAGGAAACAGTAATCTGAGGTCAGGAATAGTTCCAGCTCAGGCACGACTTCGGGCACAGGGCACACATCAACCAGGGCATTGGCTGTGTATTGCATTTAAACTGCAGCTTTGGCTTTGGCCAGCTAAGCTAGTGCTTTCATCCAAACTAGGACTCATGTACGTCTAGATCTTGACTTGGAATGTAAGAAAAATTCAGTGAGTTTACCACATCCACTGTGCTCTTTTTCTTACTTAAAAAAACCCAAATACCAAAGCAATCACTGAGCAGCTTTAGCAGCTTCTCCCATTCTCTGAACACGAGACAGCTGGTCTCACCCTAATTGAAATCCCCATGATATGAAATATCATAGACACAATATTTGTTTTGCTAAAACCAGGCTGAGCTCACCATCTTTTGGCTCCCTACTGCGAGTTATGGCCACAAACCATTTTGGAGAGCAGTTTGTTGAAGGTGTCACCTATAACACCGAGGGCAGGCCTGGGCAAATGTCTGCACAGGTTCTCTTACTGAGAGTCTTCCAGTAGCAACTCACTGCACAGAAAGTAAAGGTCACTTGTTCCATCAGACACTATGCATTGTGGTTTTCCCTCCCACAGAGCCCCTGATTTTTAGAGCACTGCCTGTTTTTGGAAATGCAGCAAAGCTGAGATAGGTGGAAACACATCAATGAGGGCAAAGAAGCAGCAACAACAGCGATGGACTCTTGAGTGAGGCTCCTCAAGCTGCTCTGCAGTTCAAGTCTGTCCTTGTGACTGATGATCACATCCCATCACATTTGAGCCTCAGAACCTGCAGGCAGTGTCACCAGGCAGCACGAACTTGGGGCAGTGTCACCCAGCAGCCTGTGTGACCCAGTACACCACCAAGCTGTTCTCTGAGTGCCTTGATCCAGCATGTTCCTGGACAGCATGAACTACAAGAGCCTTGGTGTCATGTAAATGAAGACAGTCTGGTCATGAATGAACACCCCCTGAATGCCCTGATGACACAACTGGCCCCAGCAGTGACCAGGGGACAAGGGGCTTTGCTGCCCATATCAACAAGGACAGTGTCTGTGCGGGAGACACGATGCTGACATTTGCGACCAATAAAGCTGCCACAGCAATTCTAAAGCCAGAAACTGTTACAAATGACAAGCTTGATAATTGAACTTAATCAAACAATATTAACTGTTAGAATGAACAAGAGAAATTATGTACATTTTCTTTCCTCTATTTTCTTTACATGTTGGAGGGAAAAAGAATGTTTCACGTCATACCAAGTGCTAAACCAAATTCAGCTCCAAGCTGAGAACACCTTGGTGTGGAAGTCTGAGGTGGTCCAACCTGACAGGCTGCAGGGACAGGTACCAGGTGGCCTTGGGGGCTCCTGGTGTCCCCCACCGCCCTCAGGATCCCCATAGCAGAGCCACGCACCAGTAAACTTCTTCTTCCTTCAGAGGGCAACCACATGAACAACCTGCTGTCTCTACTGGGAATATTTCAAATTTCCTTGGAGACTGATCCTCATCCAATCATCCAAACAGTTTCTCATCTCCTTACAGTATTGCACACCACGGCAAGTTAAATCAGGAAGATCTCAGCCCAACAACCTCAGCAGCCACCACAACCTACCCACATAATGACTCAAAACAGAGGGTTTGCACCTCAACCTCCTTGGTGACATCAACCTAGCCATGACACAGCACAGCTCCATTTGCCACTGTGACACAAACCCCAACACTACAGTTTCACCACTGCACCAGACTTTCCTTCTCCGCTGCTTCTCCACCGGATTTAGGGAATAAGAAGCAACATGACTTACAGTTTACTGTGACTTTTACTTTTTTCACGTCTGGGACTGAGACATCATTTTCTGCGCTGCATTCGTATTCCCCCGCCTGGTCTCTTGTAATTCCATAGATGTCCAAGTACTGCCCGCTCTCGAAGGGCTTTGCTGAAATGAAACAATAAGAGAAAGAAATTACTGGAAGCTTCAACACCTGACCAGCATTCAGAGGATTTAACACACATTCAAGGGGAGCCGGGAGCTGCTGCAGCTTTCACCCAGAAATCCCACTCTGAGGTGAGCTGAAAACCCCCTCAAGCTTCTGGAGCTGAGCAAAGGTTCTCTCCTGCCCCTGCCCTGCAGTGATGCTCAGACACATTCAGATACATGAGTAATTTGCACCTGATGGGCTTCACATCTGTGGCTGCCCCACCCCAGGAAGTGTCCAAGACCAGGCTGGACAGCACTTGGAGCAACCTGGTCTAGTGGAAGGTGTCCCTGCCCATGGGAGGTTATGGAATTAGGTCTGCTTTAAATCCCTTCCAACTCAAAGCAGTCTGGTATTCCTGCCTTAAAAGCTTCAGCATCCACTAGGGCTGATGGTTTGCACTTGGGCAGAGCCCAGCCCCTGAAGAGACCGTGAGCGATTCCTGGAGCAGCTGATCTGTTGCAGCATCCACTGCCCATCACAGCTGCCCTCACTGGTCAGGGACCATTTGTCCTTGTTACATCAACCAGCAGAGCATGAAGCTGGATGGTGAACCCCCACGGCTGCCAGAGCCAGGCGTGTCCCGGAGGGAACCTGCTGATCACCTGTGATGGGGGGCAATGGGTGCAAAATGGGTCATCACCCCTCCTAAAGTTCTTCCAGGCTTGCTCACCACCCACTCAGTGCTTATATGTTGTGCCCTAATAAAAATTTCATCGTATTAGTCAAAAATTAATGAAGAGTTCTCCTTTCCCAAAGGAGCCAAACCCAGGAAGGGGGATCCTCGGTGTTTGCCTTGTTACACAGAAATAAGGACAGTCTGAGTGAGCAATTCTGAGTGCAGGCCAAAGTCTGTCTGCTGGGAAACAATAGGAAATCAAAGGGAATGTTTTTGTCCCTAAAACCTCAGTGCCCTGTAATGCACACAGATTGTTTCAGAGACCAGTGACAATGACACCACTCAAGAGCTCCTTTAACTCCACTTGACACAGCAGATATAGGCATTTCTGAAGCTCCCAAAATCCCAGGAACTCCCAGTGTTTCCCTGCTGTGGTTCCCACCTTGCAGGGAGCGCTCTGATATCCCTCAGATGAAAATTGCTCCCTGCTTCCAAGTTCATCTTTCTGTGTCTTTTAAGCAGAGCTCTCCACGTGATGGCTAAGTAATTGGTTTAGATTCCTCACAAGGCACCCATCACATAATAAACAAAAAAGTGTTAAATATAATTATTATTTTAACATAGTATATCACAGCAGCCATGACCACAGATGCTGGAAATTATAGGTCTAAAGGTTTAAAAGACTTGCTGGAAGTGTTTTCCCACCCAGACAAGCCTTTAATTGACTGTTAATAACTGTGTGGCTTGTGAAGCACTGAAAAAAACCCAGAGTGGGCAGTGAGGACCAAGCAGGAGCTTGGTTATGTCATGTCCATCATGGTGGTGAATTAATTTGCTTATCTGCTCATGAATTAATGTTTTAAAGTGTGCAAGGTTCAGAACATCAATTATCACATCGTTCAGCACGGCAGCTCATTAACACGCACATGACGATGTGTCTGTCACGGGGAGGAGCCCAAGTGAGCACTGGTGGTGGGAAGTAGAAAGATAAGACTGAAATAGGAAAACTATTGTGGATTGAAGTGAATATTCATAACATGCAGTGAAATAGTTTATGGGACATGAGGAATTGCATATGGATTTTTAATTGCATGATTTTTTTTTCTCTTCCATGTTCATAGGAATAAATGATAAAGAACCCCTTCCCCAAACAAAGCAGGTGTTGTTGTTCCCAGCATGGTCCCATCCTGCTCTGCTTTGGCCAGGCTGAAGCAATTCCCAGGAAAACTGTATTTCCTCTTGCTTTGAGCAGCAGAGAAGGATGCAAAGTCCCTCTTGCACAGGGGCGTTGGCCCACAGAGAGGAAAGACCTTCCAGCAATTCCACTTTGGTTCAAATGCTGTGAAAATTATATAAAATGCAAAATTCTCTCTTGTGTCAGGTTAAAAATAACTACAAATGATGCAACTGTAATGCTCTCCAATGTCAGTGCTTCCCTGGATATATGATAGGCATCAAAACATTGTACAGCATCCCAGAATCACTGAGGTTGGAAAAGCCCTCCCAGACCATTGAGTCCAACCTGTGCCCAATCCCCACTGTGTCACCCAGCCCAGAGCACTGAGTGCCACGTCCAGTTGTTCCTTGGACACTTCCAGGGATGGGGACTCCACCACCTGCCTGGGCAGCGCAGTACACTGAACCCTGAGATAAATTTATGATTTATCCCATCTCAATTCCCAACACAAATTTGGAGAAAAAGAAACAAAATACATCTCCAACTACTTGGAATTTTATTAAAACTTAATTGTGTTTTGGAGTTGAGGTAAAACTAAACATTCTCTGCTCTAAACTTCTGGTTAAATGTCAACACACCACAGAATGGCCTGATTTGGGAGGGACCTTAAAGATCATCCAGTTCCAATTTCTCCTGCCGTGGGCGGGGACACCTTCCACCAGACCAGGTTGCTCAGAGCTCCATCCAACTTGGCCTTGGACATTTCCAGGGATGGGGCAGCCACAGCTTCTCTGGGCAACCTGTGCCAGGGTCTCCCCACTCTCACAGGGAGGGATTCCTCCCCAGTATCCCATCTAACCGTGCCCTCTGGCAGTTTAAAGCCATTCCCCCTTGTTCTGCCACTCCAGGCCCTTGTAAATAATCTCTCTCCATCTTTCTTGTAGCTCCTTCATGCCCTGGAAGGCCCCAATTAGGTCACCCCAACGCCTTCTGTTCTCCAGACTGAACAATCCCACTTCTCTCAGCCTTCCCTCACAGCAGAGCTGCTCCATCCCTCTGATCATCTTGATACCTCCTCTGGACTCGCTCCAACAGCTCCATGTCCCTCCTGTGCTGGGACCCCAGAGCTGGAGGCAGCTCTGCAAGTGGGGTCCCACCTGAGCAGGGGGGAGGGGCAGAATTCCCTCCCTCCATCTGCTGGCCAGTTCATTGGTTTAGATTCCTCACAAGCCATTCACCACTTAACAAACCACCATTTCTGTTAGAATGATTCCCAAAAATGCACAAGTCCTTTCCATGACCCTTGTATTTATACAGATTTATGCTGAGCTCTGACTCTCATTTATGCTGCAAATGCTCTTGTATTTTGATAGCGCTGGGTAGATCCGTGATTTTATGCAACTCACACACACATTCCAAAATCTTCAAATTAAGGCATTTTAAACCCTCATGTCCTCCGAAATGTTACATCCAGCTCACATAAGTAAACTCTTAATAAATATGAGAGATGAACACTCTTAAGGAATACACTGATACCCTGTTCCATTTCCCTGATTCGCCTGCCCTGTGATGCCCCCTTCCTCAGCCTGTTCTTAGTTCCAGAGATCTCCCAGGGCTGTGTGGGAGCACATAGATCATGTGAGAGCACATGCATCGAGCTGTGGGAGGGATCTGTGCATAAGTATATGTAAGTGTATTTATGCTGCATCACATGAACATCCAGCTGAGGCAAGGAGATCCATAAGCAGCAGAAGAATAAACTGTGGATGAAGACATCGGGGAAAGAAGATGAGTTTCAGGAGACAACTCAGTTTTCTCACTGTTTTTTCCTGTGATCTCTCATAGTCCTGAGTAACCAACCCTTGTTCTGCTCTTCTGCAGCCCACAAGCATTTTATAGACTTATCAAGAGATTGGGTATATTTCTGGCTGCCTTTTCTGGCCATCAAGCCAAAATACTCCTCAGGCATTGTACCTGAGAAAAGGAAATCTGAAGGTTCATTAGCAGCAGTCCCTCAGCCTGAAGTCGTGTCAGCCAAGAACTTTGATGAAAGATGAGAAAAAAACATTGGTTGAAGTAAAAGGAACATAAACGTGCGGGTGCCTCACATCCAAGGCCATTCCTGATGGGTTTTTCAGAAGATCTCTTAACTAGATTATTGATACGCATACAGACACCTAAGTAATCAGGTCTGGACAGCACAGGTGAGGAGACCAGGTTCTCCAGGAAGGGAAACGCCTATGAAACTAAGCTTGAATGTCTATTTTCTGCCACTGACGTGTGAACTGACGTCTGATAAATCCTTACACTTTTATTCCTCAGGAGAACATACGATTAAATCCATGTTTTCTCACCACACCTGTGGTTTCTGGCACAGGTGCAGCACACACACACGCATGGCCATATGGACCCATTCTCACAGCCTTGGACGGAGGAGTTCTGCAAGGGCAGCACTTGCCTCCCTGGTGTTAAACATGAGTCAGTCTGAAGAAAAATCTGGTGCAAGTCCAGAGAAGCTCCAAAAATGGCTGAGGACTTCAGCTGAACCAAGGGAGATTTATTTTTATTTTTTCCTTATTCACTAGGATATTATATAACTACAATATAGTCCCAGTTTATGAACTGTAAAACAGGTGGAGCAATTTTGTAAGGAGATAAAAGACAAGAGATGGGAACACAGAATACCCAAGTTGAAAGTTCCAGGGACTGGAGGGGGTTCAGAGGCTGGTGTTTGGAGAGCTGTGTGTTCTCTCAGTGTGAGCAATGTAAATCTCAGCCAGTTATCCAGAGTGTGGTGTGGAGAAGGTGGAATTGGTCCTACAAGACAAGTCATCTCAGTTTTCCCCATTCTCTACAGTTACACCAGATTCTGTCCCTGTACAGAGCCACTGCCAGGCTCTAGAGTCTGAGATCATGGACTTACTATGGTTTGGAGCAAGTTTAATTCCTTTCTTTGCTGCCTTCATGCCAAGGAACACATGGTTGTCTCATACTCCAGAATATGGACTGACCTTTCCTCCTTAGCAGCTGAGAATTAACGTAAAGGAGAACCAGCTCCATTTTATTACCTGATGTTGCCCAGAGAGGCTGTGGACTCCCCATTCCTGGAAGTGTTCAAGGCCAGGTTGGACAGGGCTTGGAGCAACCTGGTCTAGTGAAAGGTG